TGCGAATTTATATATAAATTCGTATGTGAAATTAACCTTTAAAAAATCCGCACATAATAATTAAACATATAGTTCATAACTATTGGTTGATTTATTGGAGTGTTGATCAGGGGAGTTGTCCGTGCACGTGATAATCAATGCATTTCTTATTGTTTATTAAATTTGCGACAAGCTTTAAGATTTTTATGAAAGAATTACCACTATATAGTAAAATTTCACGAGGAAAAATTTTTGTTAGAGCGTAAAAGTCGGGTTGTTATGTAAATTTTTGAGTTATGAACGATTTTAAAAACGGCCAATTTTTTTACGTTATTCCTGATCATGTTACATTATATTGATCATGTGCGGATATCCTGATACTATTAATGCAGGTTATAGTGACACCCGACGTTATGCATATACAGTAATCCTAATCGGGATGAGATATGTATTTCATTAATCGATTTCCAATCAAACGGCAAACCAAAATAAATGAAGTAATTAATTAATTAATTATGCATCATTATTTAATCGTTAAGAAAATGCTACCTATTTCCAATACGATATCACAGTTTTTGCTCTGCTTCTCTACAACAAAATGAAATTCTATTCAATTCTCTTTACACTTATTGTTATCATTTCTTTGGCTTATTCATATGCCCAAGAAACTGCTCTACCTTCGGTGACGGTGACTAGACCTCTTGTTCAAGCTATAGATAAACGTACAGAGAACAGTGACATTCATTCTGAATAATAAAAATTTATATCTATTCTTCTCGCCTGAATAAACTTGAATAATAATCAAATATCATAACCATTGAATATTGTACTTCTAAAAGAAAGCTCGATGCTTATTTTACTTACATCAAGTCAATCAATTGGTTACATTTTATCTTGAATGGTTCAATTATATATCATTTACGCAGTTAAAAAAATTCTATTTTCTATATGTATAATAAGAAGTAATTCTTTTCTCTAAACATAAAATAGTTATTGCTTTCACATTATACTGTAATATAGAATTCAACGTTTCTGATTTAAATTATTAAATTTTATTTTTATTTTAGAAAACAACTTTTAATATTTTTATTTATAAAAAGTTTGCTTCGAATATAAGGTAAATAAAATTGAAATTTTCTTATCGAGTGTATTAAATTTTTTTCTTTTTAATGAAGTTTGCTTAGTATAATTATTAAATTAAGAAAAAAATAAAGCCTATTGGTAAATGTTCACGATTTTGCATGATCAATAAAACACGCTTTTTTTTTTTTAGATAAGGGAACTATGGAATAAATTTTTTTTCATTCAGTCAAACATGTAAAATTTTGAATTTCAAAGTTCCTTACTATTAATAGATTTTGCCGTAATAATTAACTTAACTATATAGTAGTGTTGTTAACTGGAAGCTACTGGAAGACAACTGGAACTCCACTGGAAGAAAATTAATAGTACTACTGGAACTTTTACTATTACAAATTTCCACTGGAAGGCTGAGAGTTTCTACTGGAAATAAAAATTAACAACACTGCTATATAGTATACAATTCATTCTTGTTATAACTGGTGTGATAGGTGATACTACGTAGAGAGATATACCTATTTTGACGCAGGTAACGTTCACGATAAATATCGCGTGATGCGTCGATCGGGACTAGATACCATCTGATTCGTCTCATCGAGATGAATCGAATGGTACCAAAATCATCGAATTCTAATCACTAGATCACGAGATACCACACATTAAAGTTTGTCTAAAAATTATGTTCCTAATTTGATACAATGCCTAATTTGACGCAGTTAGTGTTTACAATAAAATATATCAATCAGAATCGCATGATTTTGTTACCATTTAATTCGTCTCGAGACGAATCGAATGGTACTAAAATTATTCGACTCTGATTGATATATCCCGTGATGTTTTATTGTAAACACTATCTGCGTCAAATTAGGTATACCTATCTTGAGTTATTTTAATTAAATAGTTTATCTCGAGAACTATTGATCAGAATCGCATGATTTTGTTACCATTCAATTCGTCTCGATGAGACGAATCGAATGATACCAAAACCATCGCGCCAAATCAGGAACTGCATCAAAATAGGTATATCCCCCTTATATTTATTTAAATACTTTTTTAATTGTCTGATGGCAGATTGCTTATAAAATTTAAGCATAATATATAATACAAATCTAAATAAACTTGAATAAAAAAGTCAAGAGTAACACATTACTTAAAAATTAGTACAAATTAAAAGAAATTAGTAATCCAGGTCAATCCAATAACAGCATAACAAAATAAAAGTTTTTTCTATTCTTAATGACTCAGATATTTTTATTATTTTATTCGAATTACAAAAAACTTTATCTGCAAACATCATGAATCAAGAATTAATAAAGAAATTGATACACGAAAATTTCTTTTTTAGGTGGCGTTGGAAAAATAACAAACAAAACACTTGTTACAAATGGTAAACGGGCTTTATTTAGCATTCAGCCATGAAAAGACAAACAAATCAATCAAACAGCTATGTTAAATTGTAGATAAAAGCGCTTTTATCATTATTGAAATACTCTGGTCAAGAGTGAATTCGAAAGAAATATTTCAAAACATGGCCTTTTTAACTTACGTTGACCTATAATTAAATACATAATGTCGTAATATTCTACATATTTAACTTAAATACAAAGTTAAAAGCCGTTATCAGTTTTGTAAACCTCAACTATGATTAGTCGATTTTGGGATTAACAAATCAGCCGATATGATTTAAGGTTAATTTCTAATTTTCGTAGTACAAGCTTTCCAAGTCTAAAGCCAGGTATATATATATAGTAATTTATATGCGTCATGTGATTTTTAATTTATAAATTTGTAAAACTACCACGACCTCCAAGTCTGGAGTATTCAACTTTGACTTCATTATTATTATTATCCTTATTGAATACCTCGTCTATTGCTATAATACTAAATAACTAAGAATCATTCAAAACATTCAGTAACTTTATGTATGTGTCTAGTGATGTGCCATTTATATGATACCTGAAAAATTTTAGCGTACAGTACGTACAGTACGTACTGTACGTATAGTTC